GGTCCATGTACCTTATCATCTGGAATTTCAACATGATTTTCAAGGTGACATTTACCTATTAAACAATTTGAGCATGTGCAATGAGAAGGGATATGGCAAACCACTAAGAACAGGAATGCTAATCAAAGATGTATAATATCCTCTGCCTTGGCCATTCCTCTGAAACATCTCCTGATGCAAATCTGTATAGTATGCAAGTTTCTAAGCATCCAATGATAAGGCTGGAGAAGAAAGAGCTCTGAGCAAGACTTGAGTTTTAAAACCATGGTACTAGAGCTAGAAGAATGTTATTGTTCCTAGGACAATCCCTGAAGTGAGGATGCCAAAAGAATTTGGAAGAGTTGAAAAACAGCACGGAGTGTGGGGTGGTGCATGCCCTTTATCCCAGCACTTAAGAGTCAGAAGCAGGTGGCTCTCTGAGTTCAAGGATAGCCTGGTCTATGGAGCAAGTTCTAAGACAGCCAGGACTACAGAGGGAAACCCTATCTCGAAACAAAAAACTGGAAAAGAGCAAAAACTTACTTTCTAGAAGGAAAAAGAGTAAGTGAACGTTAACTACAGCCACCTCTTGCTGTTTCAGAGATTAGCAAGAACATGCTCTGAGGCTATCAAAATTGCAAATGCTGAAGTCCCTCAGAACAGAGAAGTATTTGCATAGAGCCTGGAACACATGCACATCACCTAGACACTATATCATTTCTAGTGTTTAGACTAATACTAGCAAAGACAAATGTTTCTTATGCTGTGTTTCTTAAAGGAAAATAAGGAAACATGTACATTTTCAAGATATGTCTTTCCTTTTCTTCCCCCCACCCACCCAGGATGGCCTCAAACCCATGATCCTGCTTCAACCTCCTAACCCTAGAATTACAGGCATGCACTGCACTACTGTGCCAGGCTTCAGACAAAGGTTTTTGGTTTGGTTTGCTTGGGTTGGGTTTTTTGTTTATTTTTTTTTCTGGGTTTGTTTGTCTGGATATATTTAGCTGGGTCTTTAATGTAGAATCTTTAGAAATGGTAGTCTTTAGAAATGGTATTTTGAAGATCTCTGTATTTTTTTAAATATTTTTCATGTTTATGTGTGTATACCTGCATGAATTCATATACAGCACATGCATACAAGTGCCAGAGCAGGCCAGAAGATAGTGTTGGATTCCCAGGAACCAGACTTCTGTGATTTATGACAAAAATAGGATGTAAAGGCTATTTCTAGAAAAACACAGGCAAGTTTTTAAACTAGATATATATTTTAGGGAACATGTTATTTCTCATTTTATCTTGCCTATACTGGATTTTTAGGGAGTTACTGATAGTTTAACTTTCAACTAATTAAAGAAGCTCCTTTAGTCTTTATTCACAGCTGTCTTCAGCAACACAAGGTCTGAGACCTCTGGGACCTTTCACTTTCTCTAGGAAGTCCTTGGCTCAGCCCCGTCGTCTCTCTTTTTGTAGGATGTTGGTTCCTAGATTCTCTGTCATGACCATTCTGTGCCTGTGCCTTGTGGATAGGATTTACTGCCTTGAAATCCTCAGAAGTTACACAGTCTCTTTCTTTCAAAGCACTATAGAGTTTGGACATATTTTAGCATCATTTATCTTCCAACATCACTGACAAGGTACCTGAATTTCCCTGGGCCTCTTCTCTCTGTGTCCAGCTTGTAATGTTAATTTTCCTTTAGTCTTGCCCTTGGCACTCTTTCCATGTTGCTTCCTTGAGCAGCATAACCCAGGTTTATGGTTTTTACTACTACCTGAAAGCAGATGACTCAAGCATATTTATACCATCTAGATGTTTCTCTTGAGTGCCAGACTCACGAAACAACTGTCCAATGAACTCTGATAGATCATAGGCCTCCCAAAGTAGCAGGGCCAAATTTTATTCTCTCTCCTACCACACTACCTGTACACCCATTTGGAGCACACAGCACCACTACTAGCTCTGCTAGACATTTTCCCTAATTCCCTATTACCTTCCTCCAAATGTACCATGACACCTGGCTGACATTTATTGCTGACAAGGTTAACTTTGGTAGTAGACTAACTTAGCATGTTTCATATATGTTTTTGCATCTCACATACATACATAAGCCTTTAAAAAAATTGTTAAAGCTGGGCCTGGTGGTTCATGCCTGTAAATCTCAGTGTTAAGGGGGATGACATATGATCCAAAGCCTGAGCTACATTGGAAGAACCTGTCTTTAAAAATAATAATAATAACTTACTGAGGTAAATTACTACAATGCTAATAGGCATCAAGCAAATGTGAGGTTGAACTAATGTCCGTTGGCATCCCCAGGGCATCAAACATTCTTTGTTTGAAGGATTCCTCTAGGATTCTGGACACTGACATCTTGCTGCCCCTCTTCTTTGCATGGGATCCTTTCTATAACCATGGGCTCAATCATTCATGTAAAGCATACCAACTATTCGGCTATAATATGAAGGAATCTTTTGGCACATAAGCTCCAAGAGGAGGAAGAGGAGTAAGGGGAGGAGGAGCAGGAGGAGGAAAAGGAGCAGGGGGAAGATGAGCAGGAGGAAAAGTAAGAGGAGCAAGGGGAAGAAGGAAGAAGAGGACGACTGTTCTCTTTGGAGTTGCATCTAGCAGTGGAGAAAAGAAGCATGCTTTCTCTGTGAGCTTCTGCCCCTGAGTTCCAGGCTGGAACTGAAGGGACCAGCTCCCCATTTTGGCAGTCATAACAGCCTAACAGGTACTTGCCTGACCTTGCCTTGGTCACTAGGAGGTCAGATGCCTGCCTCGTGGCAAGGAACCAATCAGAAGTTAACTGGTGGTGCTATGCTTTATGGCTCTGGGTGTGCTTTACCGACAAGTGCACAGCATATGATGTGCAGAACATAGCAACCGTCCTGGGAGGGCCTATGGGCCATAACAACCAGTTGGCCAATCAGCACAGGGCAAGTCCTCCAAGCCTGGAGGCACACCAATCCTGAGCCTGTACGTACCCCTAGACACTCCCCTTAAGCTGCCCTATAAGATCTCAGTCCTGTGGCTTCTTGGCCTCTTTCCCCAGCCATCCACCATGGTGGGTGGAAGAAAGGCCCGAGCTAACATGGGGTTAGCTCATTAAACAACTGCAATAAAGCCTAGTGCTGCTTGCATCAAGTTTTTGCCTCTGCCTGGTGATTGGGGTCACCGAGATCCTGAGCCGAGATCCTGGGGGCCTGAGCCACCTGGGGTCTTTCAGAACTACCATTATTGCTGCCACCCATGACGCAGACTGGTAACTTCCATAGTTCTGCAGATGATCTTCCTACAGCATTACCTTTAGCATTACCTTTTCCTCCCAAGTGCCACGTCTCTGAGACAGCTCTTTGTCTTTGGGAGTTCTTCAACTGAGATTCCATGAAGCACCAAACCCTGTCTCCCTTAGCTTGCTTTATCTCCTTAAACTGATGTTCTAAAAGCTGGCCTGTTTTCTCACCTCTGAGTTCTTTCCTCCCAGGCTCTCAACTACTCATCTCAAGCAAATCGATCACCTATCTCCTAAGTAGGGATGTTTTCGTTAGTCCAGGCCTCAGCCAGCAGGAGATGTATCTCAGTACATGTGTTGTCTGAGAGTGACTTCATGCTTGGCTCTAACCAATCCTCACAGGGACAGTGATCATCTCTTCATTAAAACGTCTTAATCTATTGTCTTGAGCCAATTGATCAGCCATTATAAAACCATAATTATTTTTTCTGATCCCACAAACACTTGATAAATATTTGTTGAGCGAAGGTATAAACCAAAGAACAAACATTTGGAATGGAAGTACCTGGGGACTTACACAAAACAACTCAACCCTGTATGGGAACAAACTGCCAAGCTCTTTAAGTCTTAAGACACTTCCAGGCCAGCTTAACTCAGATGATTCTTCCTCATGGTTTGCCTGCCTCCCTCTTTGCTAAGTGACTCTTAAATGCGTGTCCCTGGCACTTTCAAAGTCCTTAACTAAAACAGAACAAGACTTTACAATCTACCAAAACTTTTAGAACACTGACTGACGTGTGTTTAATTACAAATTTTGTCCTATATATTTCAGTTTAAAGTAACATGTAAAAGGTTTCTTTCCTTGAATAGAGCCAAACCTAGCCACAGAGCTTTTCCATGGGTTGGAAGTTTCTGGATGAAACTGGGTTGACAGCTTAAGAAGTAAACGATTGCAGCTTCCAGAGTCGCCCACCCCCACCCCATCCTGTCCGGTAACAACTGTCACTTCAGTGCAAGGTTAAAGTGGTTTGGCTATTTCTGGCAGATGGGCACTTAGCAGAATGGACCCTCGAAGAGACCCAGGTCTCTCCCTCCCCCCTTCGGACCCCCCCTCCAGGCAGCTGTGGGGCCTTGGATACAATGCTGGGTTCCCCAGAGGAGGAAAAAGGATTATGCAGCAGAGAAAGAAGGTCCCAGCGGGAGGCAGGCGGACTTGCCTGACGAGGAGAAGGCTGGCTTGGAGGGCTCTTAGCAACAGCCCTGGTTTGACCCGCCTCAGCCGTGAGAAAATCAAATCAGAGAGCCTTGCTTCCAGGCTGCTGCACGCACCATCAGCGGCCGATAGTCGAGGCATCCTTTCTCCCGCCTGTTAATTACCTGCCCTGGGAATCGCACGCAAAGTGCTGCTGAGAGGTGGAGCAAGCAACCATCACCCGCCCCCACCCCCATCCCGGCTGCCCGGGGGTTCAGGCTCGCGAGTGAGTCCCTGTACATCATCCCGTCTTCCTGACAGGCGGGACTGAGGGGGGGTGCCAGCCCCACTGGGAGGGCCGGGGCTTTATTCTAGAGTCCATGGTGCGTGGCTGTGCTTTTCTTTCCCATTTGTAGGTGAAACCCCATTGGCTTCATTGGCTCCTTGATTTAAACCACACACTGCTTTCTGCCGGCTTTGCTGCTGCTGGGCTCGGCCTCCCTGCCACATCCCAGTCGGGTTCTCAGGAAGCCGGGGGGGTTGCTGGTAGCTGCTATTGTGTGGATGCCGCGTGTGTCCTCTCTTCTCTTCCAGAGATGGCTAACAGGGGCCCGAGCTATGGCTTAAGCCGAGAGGTGCAGGAGAAGATCGAGCAGAAGTATGATGCGGACCTGGAGAACAAGCTGGTGGACTGGATCATCCTGCAATGTGCTGAAGATATAGAGCACCCGCCCCCGGGCAGGGCCCATTTTCAGAAATGGTTGATGGACGGAACGGTAAGCCGGGCAGGGATATTAGTTGCTGGGACGGTGGGCAGGGACGCCCTCCTGGGGCCCTTTCTTTCTATATGAGGCCCCAGGGTATCCTCTGTTGCCAAGGTCTGGGTCTCACCGGAAGGAATGGGAATGCCTTTATTTCTCTGGGGCTGTAAGACGAGGGTTCCCAGCACAATTCCCTAGCTAGTTTAGAGAATTCTCCACCCGTGTGAGCACCGAGCTTCCTGCTGAGTTGTAAGCAAAATTGAAGCCCTTCTGATATTCCCATTGAGAATAGAGCTAAGTGCTGCCGTGTGATCTCCTCTGCCTTCTTGGTGCATCAGCCTTTCTGGGGCTTTTCTTACCCCCAGGGGAGCCAGCTGGTTACACGGTCAAACAAAGGAAAGGAGTCAGGCTAGCCAACTTGTCATCCCCCTGAGAAGCTGAACCCCCTGGAGATGCTCAGGGTCTCTGGAGTGGATGAGTTCCCTTGAGCAGGAAGGGAATCCTTGTTTGATAAGTGGGGTTCTGTCTAGATTCTGTGTGTTAGGGTTCCAGGAGGACAGCTCAGCTGAGTTGAGCAAGCCCATCTTTTCTGGCAGGCTGTGATTTACTGTTACATAACTACGATCCCACCCATGTGTTGGGTAGACCAAGGCTTGGCTTCTCAGAGTCTGTGAGAAGACCCAGCTCAGTTCTTTTACACATCATAAACTCCTACAGAATGAGTTAGTGAAGACAGCAGATCCCAGAGAGCAGATCATAATCCTCCCATTTCCCCATGAGCCTCCATTAAGAGTCTGAGATCATGTCCTCATCACCCAGCATCATTCCCAAGGAGGGAATTGGGTTCCGGCTGCAGGACTGTGGTCAGCTGCAGCCTGAGAATTGGCTCCCTGGGGTCTTCGTCCTGTTTAATGTGGGAGTGTGTGTGTGTGTGTGTGTATGTGTGTGTGTGTGTGTGTGTGTGTTTGGTGTTTTGTATGGTGTCTGTTCACCAGTCACTTCTGACTGTGACATTTATTGCAGAGGGAAACACTGATCCTCTATCCCCACACTCCCTTCAGGTCCTGTGCAAGCTGATAAACAGTTTATATCCACCAGGACAAGAACCCATTCCCAAGATCTCAGAGTCAAAGATGGCTTTTAAGCAGATGGAGCAAATCTCCCAGTTCCTGAAAGCGGCCGAGGTCTATGGTGTCAGGACCACGGACATTTTTCAAACAGTGGATCTATGGGAAGGTAAACAGCCCTTCTGTCTTTGGGTCTGTTTCCCCTGGACTCCTGTTCCCATACCTCCTCTTTTCTCTATTATCTATTTGTAAAAGCCACTTACATAGGGCTTCCCGTGCTGCTTGGGGGAGGGGAAGTGCATCCTCAGCTGTCACCCATGGACAGTGTTGTCCTTCCTGTTTGTGATGCTTGATGGATACGGGTCCTGTCCTGTATGCGCTGAGGATATTGCAGGTACCTCAGCAAAGTAGAAGTGTCCACAGAGGAGAAGTGAACTGCTTACACGGATGCCTTTTCTTCCAGCTAGCGTTTCCAAACAAATCACACTTAGTGGAAAAGAAGGGAGGCAGGAGTGGGTGAGTGCTCTTTGACTCACCAGCAGTGGGGCTTACAGACAAAGCCATCTGGTGCTCCTCTGTCATTCAATCTGAGGAAGGACTAGCGCTCCATCTTTCTGTTAAACAATTATCTAGAGTACCGTGACTGTATCTTCCAGATGGATATTCTGCTCAGGGAGACTACCAGATGACTTTTTTTTTTTTTTAAATTCACATTTGTGAATTGACTTGGTGAGAAAAACCTCACAAAGCTATAGAGATTGAATCTTAGCTATGGACATCTTTAGCAATCCACCACTACTGTAGGAAAATGATGTGGAAGGAACATACTGTGGGACGGATGGAGGGACCAATAGTCACACAGCTTCCAGTCCCTTTTAGTGAAAATATGCATGTTAGTCCATACAGCCACAATTAGGCCTGCCTGAGGCACAGAGAGGCGGTCTAACTGCCAGATTGATCGACACACTCATTGTCACTGGCTGTCATTACAGCGCAACCAACAGGACGCCCTGGGTGGTGACCCAAATGGCCTGCTGACAGTGAGAGTAGAATAATGCTACTTGGATCAAGAGCCATGGGTATCCTAAGCACAGGACAGTCTACCCAGAAAACTATAAAGAAACAAAAGTCACCTCCTCCGTCCTCACAATGACCTCAAGCCTCCATTGGCAGACAGCCCCTATTTCATGCTTCTTCCATGGGTGAGCAGTTCAAGCCTGAAGAGGCCAGGGGACTGAACTTATGTTTTTGTATTACTTCAGATAGCTGAAATGCTGGCCAGGCCACTAGACCTCATGGGCATCCACCTCCAGTTCTTCGTGGGTTGTCCTCATTGAGGCTTGATTCCCAGGTCAAAATTATGGTGATTGTCCACAGTTAAATCAGTTCCTTCTCACTGAAGGAACAGATAAGGGCTTTTCTGGATTAGTGACACAGCATTCTTCTAAAGGAAATGTTTGCTACCTCCCCACTGCATAGAAAATGACACTTGCCTGCCCCTGGTTACCTGTGTCCATCAGAGAGTTCATAGTTCACATAGTTCACCCTAGGCTCTGATGCCAAAACAGAAGACCTTACTCAACAGGCCACGCCATTCTTTGGCCAGGGGCCTTAGCTTCCTTCATCTATACCATGAATGTGCTGCTGAGTCGTGACAGTGACTAGCTGTGGATGCCAGGGAGGCAGAGGAGGATGGAGGGGGATGAATTAAAGCTGTGTGAAACCAAAAGATAGGGTGTTAGAGCAAAGAGAGAAACCCTGGTGAGCACCCAAGAGCAGGAAGTGTGTCAGAGGAAGGGCACTGGAGGTACCTGGGAGGTAGAGTCTAAAGGAAGCATTTCCATCTACATTGCTGAAGGGCTAGCTTCATTTCCTTTCCCCCTTTATCCAAATACCACGCCAGGGAGAGGGGCTTTATACTTGGGAGGGGGCACTCAAAACAAAAGGGGAGAGAAGGAGCAGTAATTCTGGGTGAGCAGAATATGTGGCACTCTACACCCCTGCCATAGCCTGTGTGTTAGACACTCCTGGAGTAGGAAGAAAGCTAGGAGGCATAAATATTCCTGGGGCAACCTGGGATGTAGTTCTAGAATATGATAATGCTCCTAGATAAAGAGGGCAAGACAGATGATAAAAGTCATTATTCTCCATACCCCGACCCCTCCCAGCCCCAATGCAGAAGCACAGGACTTTAAATGAAATAAGGAGACTCTTTATAAAGGCACTGTGATTGACAGGTCACAGAAATGTTGGGTGAACTACACAAAAGGTAGGGATGTGCAAGAGAGCTGACAACAGGGAAACAGATACTTAAGAGCTTCCAAGTGACTTGATGGAAGCTTCAAGGAAGGCTGAGATTGAAGATGATGTCTTGGACAAGAGACTTGATATTTCCCAGGATTCCTGTCTGAAGCTCAGGCCAGAACTCTTTCTCATACTGAGCAGCGTAGGTGTAGAGAGCAGGTTGCTTTGAATAGAAGAGTGGGTGGGATGGCATTGGTGGCATAGATCGAGGACTGAGCATGTGAGGCTCTGGTCCTTTCTGCAGCAACTGCTTGTAATGCACGATTTGGGTGATGACTAAACTGTAATCAAAGAGCAGGGTTGGCGTGTGTTGATGTGATATGTCTGTGTGAGGATGTACACTATATCACATAGATATCAGACATCAGACTAGCTATCGGCAAAGCTCATCACATTCTCCCTACAATTCTACTCCCTGCCCGAGGTTGCAATCCTGCCCTCACATTTCACTTGCTCCTGCTAATTCATGATTGTGGTGGCTGTGGCTGCTGTGGGTCCACCCCCTCCCCCTTTCCTAGACACTTTTCTTCCTCCTCTGCAGGTACTTTATGCTTGGCTGCTCTCAGTACCCCATTTCCTCTGCTTGGCATGTATTCCCTAAGTATGGCTCTGTTTGCTCACAGTTGTCCAGTGCCTTTCCAAGCTGCTTCTATGTTGCAGACCAGTGGAGCTGCAGGAGCCCAGGTTTGCCAAATGCTTGTTTAAGCTTCAGTAACTCATATAGGCGGGGTCCCAGAAGCACCCATCATTCTTGAACTCCCTTTAGGTACATTATTTGGAAGAGACATGGAGCCAATAAGGACACAAGAGTCTTCAAAAAGAAACGCAGGTGACAGCTTGCTCATGGAGACATTACAGACAAAGTTACTGAATCCTTCACTGGGGAAGGGCCAGAGTGACCATCATTGTTGGAAATGGGGAAAGGCTAGGGCCACTGCAGAGAATGGAAGGGAACTGGGGAAGCTTTCCTCTAGGAGCAGAAAAGGTAAATTATCTGGCAGGTTCCTTTTCGTTCTGGCACAAATGCCTGTGAAGGGCAGGGGTGGGGTCACTTCAGCTATGACTCAAGAGAGGATAGTACAGGCAAGACTGCAGTATCTTTGCTATGAATCCTAAAGGGGAGATGGGAGAAAGGGAGCAACAATAAGCCAAGTCCCTACGTGTATAAGAGAGAAAAAACACACAAGAAAAAGTGAGTATGCTGGTCTGAGGTCTGGTTAGAAAAACTGAAATAGGTCTGTCCTGTGAGGTGGGGTGGAGTGCAGGTTCCCAAGTCAGAAACTAGACACCCTGCACTGAACCTGTGTGCTATGGCTCATCAGTTCAAAATGTCTTAAGCCTTGAATTTCTCCTGCATCAAATGGGGATAGCAAAACCCATTTCATGAGATTGATCTGGAGGACAAAGGAAGTGATGTGTTAGGAATGCTGAGATGGTGTCCCTGGTCTGCCCTGCCTGCTAATAATAGAAAGGGCAGGGACTAGAGGGTCATAGATTCCTCTCTAAAAGATGGATTTAATTAGTAATCACACTCACAAGCTAATAGTATTGCCTGGATGACCATCACCTTCTTAGAGATTCGTGCAGGTTACTTTATTGACTTTTTCACTTAGTAGTCATTGAATTTGTCATCTTTCCCTATGATACATTGCATTATCGATTTCATACCCAGGAGACCTTAGTAGAATGAAAATAGCATGGGTTTAGAGTGGATATATTGAAACCCTTCTTCCAATGCATCCTAGCTGTGTGACTCTGTTTACAGTGTTCAGCTGCCTAGAGCCTTGGTTCTCTTCTCTAGCACCCCCAAGCCCTAGAGGTATTGTATGGAACAAACACGTTAAGTCTCTAGCACAATATGTGATTCCCAGTTGCCTAATAAATGTTGACTTTTCTTCTGCTACTGTAAGCTCATCAGCAGTGACCTTTGGAGCCTATTTGTATAACCACTTAGTGTCAAATGTTAAGAATTCTAAAATGTCAGAACAGACAATATGCAAAGAGCAATCAGCCTGATTATTCTTCTCCACAGTTGCACTGATGGAGGATAATGGAGGCATGCTTTTGTGTTGTCGGTTCTTTTCTCCTGATGATGGAAGTCAGGGAGGTGTTGTTTATGCAGAAGGCTAGAGCCTGGGAGGCTCACGTGTACTCTCTCAGGATGTGTCACTACGTCTGCTTTTCCTCAACAGCAGAAGCGGAAGACACATTTCACCTAGGCTGAGATGGTTTGGGGGATACAGCAAGGTACCCACAGTGACCAGAGTTACCACAAATGCTCACTTCTCCACCTCCCTTTCCCACTGTGGCATCCTCAGCTGCATTTACTCGAAAGGGATGCTGGCATCCGTATTTTGTGAGCTTTTTCTTTAGCAGTGCTTCAAACTCCAGCATGCATTACAGGCATGCAAGGTGACTGACAGATGCATTTCTGACATGTTAAGTCTGCAACAAGGCCCAAGAATTTGTATTTCTTACTGATTTGTAGGTGACGCTGTCTCTGCTCGCCTGGGAGCTCCACTTTGAGAGCCACTACCTGACAGTTTCTCTTCCCTCTGGCCAGAATGGAAGCAACACAAATCCATAAAATGCAGAGAGAAAATGCAACCTACCTTCTGACATTTCTCCCTGGACTGTAGCAGTATTTTCTCAGGGAGTCGGGAAATGACTTTTCAGCCACAGCTTGGTTTCTCTGTGATGTATATATGAAAAATCAGTGTCTAAGAGTCACCAGACTTGGTTGAGACTAATATAAAACAGCAGTTCTGTAACAAATAATACGACTGATTTTTAGTGTTGAAAATAGAAAAGAGTGCTAAACCTCACTTTTCCAATTCAAGTGACTTCTCCGTTGCCTTTATTTCC